CAGTAGAAAAAGATAATACTGGACAGTATTACCTCACAAATCAAAAAGCTGAAAAAGAAAAAATAGAAGCCTAGAGAGATCTTACTGTGAGATCTAGCTAAGTCAGTTCATTCTAAAAGTATTTATTGACAAAAGAAAAGAAGACTGCCAACACAAGAAATGTGTGTGTGTGTACATTTTTTTTTTTTAGTGAGGCAGTTGGGGTTAAGTGACTTGCCCAGTAAGTGTCAAGTGTCTGGTCTGAGACCAGATTTGAACTTAGGTCCTCCTGACTCCAGGGCCAGTGCTCTATCCACTGCGTCTCCTAGCTGCCCCAAGAAATATTCTTTATATATACTATTTTCATGGCTGACAATACTAAAATCAGCATATTTGGATTCTGTATCCTAAGTATCCAGGGTGTGCCACATAAGAAAGTAGCTGTGGTACTTGAAAAGATAAAGAAAAAAGCAATGAAGCCTAAACACACGTAAAGAAATCTGTGTTGGAGACTATAGAATTTTAAATACATCAATATGTCTGAAGAAGAAAAGTTGCTTCTACCAGAAAACAAAAAGTTACCATAGAAGATAGCAGTTGCCTACCCCTAGTTTGTTATTGTTATAATTGAACTGCCCTATGCAGTGCCTCTATATTCTTCGTGGAATTAATTTTCTAGTTTTCTGTATAAATTTTCATCTTTATGGTTATACAATAGAAAGTACTACCCTTGGAGTAAGAAGACCTGGGTTTTGCTCAATACTTTCTGTGGGAGACCCTGAGTTGACAAGTAACACAATCTCTCCATGCCTCATTTGCTTCATGTGCAAAATGTGGTTCAGGAAAGAGGTTTGAGGCTTTACCTCAAAGAGTTCAATTCAATTCAGTATACTTTTATTTTTATTTATTTATTTTCCTCCATTTTTTTTCCTTTTTTATTAATTTATTTTATCAACAATCACTTCCATAAGCTTTTGAGTTTTAAATTTTTCTCCTCCTCCCTCCTCACCTCCCTTCCCAAGACAGTGCACAATCTGATATAAGCTATAAATATGCATTCCTATTAAACATATTTCCACATTAGTGATGTTGTAAGGAAGAATTAGAAGCAATAGAAGGAACCACAAGAAAGAGAAAACAAAACAGAGGAAAAAAATAGCAAATAGTATATTTCAATCTGCATTCAAACTCCATAGTTATTTCTTTGGATGTGAATAACATTTTCTGTCATGAGACCTTTGGAGATGTCTTAGATCTTTGCATTGTTGAGAAAGACTAAGTCTTATCAACATTAGTCATCACACAACGTGGCTGTTTCAGTAAACTTTTATTAAGTGTCTCCTGTGTGCCATGCACTGTTATGGAGAAGCTTACAATCTAATGGGGAAGACAACCTACAAACACATATGTACAAAGCAGACTATATACAGGATAAATAGGAAACAATTAACAGAAAGGGAGCACTGGAATTAAGAGGGGTTGGGGATGGCTTCCTATAGGAAGTAAGCTTTTAATTGGAACTTAAAGGAAGTCAGGGAGGTCAGTAGTGGCGGTGGAGAAGGGAGAGCAATTCAGGCTTGGGGGACAGCCAGAGAGAAGGCCTGTAGCCAAGAGATGGAGTTGTGAGGGAAAATGCTTTGTACAGCTAAAATACTGTGCAGTTGTATGTGATCATTATAGCTTGATGAATTTTCCTGGAAAATTTAATATCCCAATGTGTGTGGTTTTTTGTTTATTTTTTTAAATGATAAAATGCAGCCTTGAAGATTCAAAAATTTTATGTTAAATCATATAAGAATCTCTGACAGGTTCAGCTATGGAAACAAAACTTGTTTACTCGTTTTAATCCAAAGATTTAATGACGTCAGAGACATCAAGGCCACATGAAAAGATAGAACCTTCTTTTTTAACAAATGGTAAAATCAGAAATATATAACGTATTCTTAGTTATAACAAATCTTATATTTCACTTAACTGTTGGAAGTATTGTGCCTTGTTGGTTATATTTTCTATGAGTTTGGGTTTGAAGTATCAACAATTATTTAAAAAAAGAAATTATTCATTATTCCGTTGAGTAATGCCATCAAGGAACAGATAAAACAGAGAGATTCTCATTTAACGTGTTTGACAATGTCAATAAAATGGTTCTGCTTCTGGGAGCCAAGATGGCGGAGTGAAAAGGTAGTTGCTCTCACTCTCCCCTATCAACCTCTGAAAACCCAGAAAATATCACCCCAGAAAAAAAAAAAACCCTGGAACACCTGAACTGGAAGACAGACAAGGAGCAGCAGTGCAGTAGCCCAGCAAACGGGTCTCCCAGTGCCTCAGCAAAAACAAGGGGCCCCAGGCGGATAAGTACCCTGCGGCATTCATCTGAAAGGAGGTGAAGAAAACAACCTAAAGGCTTCCTAAAGCCCCGACCTTGCTGATTCCAACCCAACACCAGGTGAGCTGTAGGAGCCCTGAAGCCCCCAATTGTGAAGAGATCCTGAAGCCCAGGTAGTAGAGCAGGCAAACACCAACACCTGGACCTCCAAGTGCCTCAGTGAGGGTGGGGAGAACCGGTGAAAACCAGCTCAGAAAACCACTAGGAGTCTTGGCAATCCACCTCAAAGAAATCTCCTGTCGCATTAGCAGAAATGAGGGAGACAACACTGCAGGGGGCCCCAGGCAGATAAACATCCTGCAGCAGCCATCTAAAAGGAGCTGAAGAAAGCTAAAGGAAAGGAAAAGCAGGCAACCTAGAATTGCCTGAAAGTTCCAGCCTTGCTGATTCCAGCCCAACACAAGGTAAGCTGCCAGAAACCTACAGCCTCCAATTCCCAGCATAAGAGGCCCCAGAACACAAAGCCAGTGACCAAGACCTAGGCTCCCAACACAAGAAGCTTGGGTCAGTACCCTCTGTTCCCCAGCAGGAGAGCTCAATCTCTTTAAAGGCCAGGGAATAAAGAAACACCATGAGTAAAAAGAAACGTACCATAGATTCATATTATGAGAAGAGGGAAGTCAAGACAGAAATTCTGAAGAGGACAACATTGTCAACAAACCACATCTGCAACAACAAAAGGGAATATGAACTGGTCTGAAGCCCAAAAAGCCTTCTTAGAAGAGCTCAAGAAGGATTTTAATAGTCAAATGAGAGAGGTAAAAGAGTCCTTCAAAAATACAATTGGCCAGTTGGAAAAAAAAATACACTGAAGAAAACAAGTCCCTAAAAAACACAATTGGCCAATTGAAGAAGGAAGTACAAAATCTAACAGAAGAGTACTGAAGGAAACAAGTCCCTAAAAAACACAATTGGCCAGTTGAAGAAGGAAGTACAAAAACTAACAGAAGAAAACAATCTGTTAAAAACTAGAATTGGACAAATGGAAACTAATGTCTCTATGAGAGAGCAAGAATCAGTCAAACAGAAACAAAAAAATGAAAAAATGTATGAAAATGTAAAATACCTCATCAGTAAAACAACCGACCTGGAAAATCACTCAGGAGAGACAATTTAAAAATTATTGGACTACCTGAAAATCATGATGAAAAAAGAGCCTGGACAGTATCTTTCAGGAAATCATAAAGGAAAACTGCCCAGAAGTCCTAGAACCAGAAGGGAAAATAACCATAGAAAGAATCCACCACTCACCACCTGAAAGAGATCCCAAATTGACAATGCCAAGAAATATAATAGCAAAATTCCAAAATTACCAGATGAAAGAGAAGGTGCTGCAAGCAGCCAGAAAGAAAGAATTTAAATATCATGGAACCACAGTCAGGATTACACAGGACCTTGCAGCTTCTACATTAAAAGACCGCAGGGCATGGAACATGATATTCCATAAGGCAAAGGAGCTTGGAATGCAGCCAAGGATCAATTACCCAGCAAAAATGAGCATCATTTTTCAAGGGAGGAGGTGGATATTCAATGAAATAGGAGACTTCCAAACTTTCCTGATAAAAAGACCAGAGCTCAACAAAAAATTTGATCTTCAAGTACAGGACTCAAGAAAGACTTAAAAAGGTAAATGGGACAGAATTCGGATACAATATGTTGTTAATAAGGGGGAGGGGGGTGTTTAAACCCCTACAGGGGAATATGAGATTTGCAGCCCTTGAGAACTGTATTGTTATTACACGTTGTTAAAGGAGTATACATAAAGAAGGTGGATATTAGTTGACTTTGATGTAATGATAAAAAAAATCTAATCAAGTGGGTTAAATGGATCCAAATAAATGGATCAATTTAATCTTAGAAAAGGTACTGAGAAAGGAGGAGGCAGACAAGGGTAAATTACATTACAGGAAAAGACAGAGGGAAAGAAGGGGGGGGAGCATTGTTTGAACCTTACTCTCATCAGATTAGGCTCAAGAAGGGCATAATATAATCAGTTAGGTATGGAAATCTAACTTGCCCTATAGGCAGTAGGAGGGAAAAGGGGAAAGAAAAGGGGGGGGGAAGAAGGGAGGGAAGCAGCAGTAAGACTAAAGGGGAAGAAAGGGGAAAGGGACTGAAGGAGGTGGTGGTCAAAAGCAAGACAATGTCAATGAAAAAAGCAGATGTAGGTTCAGTTGTAACTGTGGTGCTAATTGATTGTATGTCTTAGGAAAACCATTCTTGAATGGTCTCTTTGTGGTGTGGTGTACTTGTCTGTCAGATAAGAATAATATCCTCCTGCCTGATTCATGGGGTTACTTTGGAAATAAAAATGAGGCAATGCAATACGAAAAAGCTTGTAGATTTAAGAGGTTATAGGTCCTTTGCCTCTTTTACTTTCTGAAGTTTTTTTTCCTGATATACATATATTCACACGTGTGTGGATAGATGTTTTTTGGGGTGGGGAACCTGCAGCCTCCCACATCTATCCACACATATATATGTGTGTGACCATTTAATGTAGCCGTGCATTATGTGTAATACGTTCTACATAAATGGAAAAATATTTAACTCAATTTTCAAATTAAGCATTTTTGTAATCTTTGCTTAAAGAATTGGAGGTATTTTTAATTTAAATTTCTGTCTGTCTTCCTAGGTTGAACTTTTCCACAAGGATATCGAATATTTTAAAGAAGGATTTAAGACAGACTCGTTAACAGATATAACACAAGTCAGCCTATATGAATATTTTCATATTTCTCCTATCAAGGTATGTCAAAATTCATTATGTTCAGGTTGTTATTAATGATAAACTGGGAGCCATCATTTCAATGCAAATCCATATAAATAGATGAAAATATTTTTGTGGGTGGAATAATTTTAAATTTTACTTTTATCCAATAATATATAGGAAGCTTGAGATAAATCATAGGATCTCTGAGTTGGAAGTGACCTCAGAGGTTGTCTAGTCCAATATGTTCCTGAAAAAGAGTCCCTTCCTGTAATAATTATTGATAAGAGGTTATCCAGTTTTTGGACGAAGACCTCTAGTGAAAAAAGAGCCTTCCAATGCAGCTGATTCTGCTTTTAGATGGATTAAGTATTTGGAAATATTTCCTTAAATCAAACCTAGGTTTGCCTTTATGCAACTTTCAGTGATTATTCCACCTTTTGCCTCCTGTGGCCTAGCAGAATAAGTTTAAACCTTCTTTAACACCACAGCTCCTCAATTACTTGAAAACAGCTATTTATTATGTGACTCATAAGTTTTCTTATCTCTGAATTATGTATCCCATTCTTAAATGCCATCCTGTTTCCTAAAATATGTTGCCCAGAATTGAATATAGTATTATTAGATGTGATCTGAGCTAAGTTATTGCCTTCCTAGTCCTTGACATTATTTTTGGGGGCTTGCATATTACACTGTTGCCTCATATTGAACTTGTAGTCCATTGAAAGATCAAAATGGTTTTTAGATGAACCATTATTGTCTAGACATACCTAATGGATATTGTACTTATAAAGTTGGTCTTTTGAAGCTGTATACTTTTTTTATTTGTGCTTTTAAAATTTCATTTTATTAAATGCAGTACAGCATTCTAGCCTATAAAGATCTTCCTAGATTATAACTTTGTTATTCATGTCAGTTATACTTCCCAACTTTGTGTTTTCTGAAAATTTAATAAGCGTGTTATTACTCACTTTTCCTATTTGCAAAATTATTTTTTCAGAAGGTAGCAATATGTCGTTGAAGAATAATATATCTGTAAATGGGCAGTGCTTTGTTTATGTGCAATATAGTCCTCAGTTATATAACGTTTTCACTTATTTTTTTCACATGGCTAACTAAACATTAAGAAAAAATGTAATTGTACATTTATAGTGTTTGAGATTATATTTAGCTTTGGAAGTTTTAGATTAAATAACTATAATTACTGGATTCAAAAATAATAGACTGAAATGACTATACCAAGTTTTAATTCAAAGTTTTAAGATTTCCATGTTTATAAAGTTCTTTGTTGAAGCAGCTTGGTGGAATTGTGGAGAGAATGCTAGACTTGCAGTCAGGAAATCCTGAGTTCAGATCTTGCCTCCGACAGTTATTAGCTGTGGGATTCTGAGCAAATTATATAATCTCTCTCGGTATCACTTTCCTCATTTGAAGATTGTACATAGAAATAGCACCAGCTTTAAAGGGTTGTGAGGACCAGGTCAAATACAAAATAAGTAAAGCATTTTATAAACTTATCATTACCATAAAATCCAAAAGAATGTTTGAAAATTTTATATAATTGTTAACCTAGTTTCCTAATATAAACACATTTTCAAGTGATCTGAGATTTATATCTAGTTGTACATTTACTTTTTCTTCAGTTTCTTTATAGTTAATCTGAATAAATAAACTCTATCAAAAGTTAAAATCTTTAGAGGATTAGGAAGTTGGGAACGTGTGGAAACCAAATCTTTACTAGACAAGAAAAGGGGAAATTGTGGGAAAGACTTAGAAGTTAGGCTTCCACAGCAGAATATGGGAATTCTGAGGACTTCCAAGGTCTTGTAGATAGTCCCTCAACCAATAAGAAAGTACCCCAAACATTCTGCAAATCCACTTCTGCCTTAAGGTAGAGCCCTAGTGGCTAAACTGGTTGCAACAGGTTAGGGTCAAGCACCTGGCAAAGGCTTTTCTCCACTGGGCTTGCTTAATAAGCTTATTGAATGTTAACTGACATACTGCGAGGGCATAGAGATCTGCCATTTTTGAATATGGGATGCATGACCAGGAGGGATAAACACAACAAGGAGTAACATAGGATGGGCGGTTCAGGAGAGTGTAACCCAAATGAGCTGGTCCAATCCTAGCTCAAATGGGAGGAGTATGGATTTTACTAACCTTTTAAAATGTGGCTCTGCTTCTGTATCAGTGCTATACTAGGATACGGTGTGCCCGCTTCTTGTGAGAGGTGTAATGAATGCTTTCCTTCACACACACACACACACACACACACACACACACGTGTTAAAGTCTTTATACTGAATAAGATTAAAGCATTTATTTCTGTTTATTTAAGTTTTGTTTTCTCAAATTCTCATTGAATTTAGTAGGATGAACTTTTCTTCTATATCCATTTCAGAGTGAAAGGGAGTAATGTTAATGTTTAGATTTTGAAATCCTTAGTAATTAAATACTAAGTTAAACAAAGAAAAATGTAAGAGTTTGTGTATGTTGTTTATAAATGATGGTTTTAATGGTATTTTAACATAAAAGTACATGGAAATATCTATTGAGTTGCAACTGGGAAAGCATTTTTCTAATTATGTATTTCTTTCTCTTTAGTTGCACTTGAGTGTTTCACTGAGTTCAGGTAGAGATGATGGTAAAGGTACAACACAAGAAGGAGGACTGATTCCAGTTCATTCAATAAACCTCTTGCTGAAAAGTATTGGTGCCACTCTTACAGATGTGCAAGATGTAGTATTTAAGTATGTAAATCTACAGTTTTTAGATTTATAGTAGATCAGTAAATTTATTAGTAAATTCTATTTTTATGAACAGTTGAGTAACTGAAGGAACCGTCTTTTCCCTCGAATAAATTTTTATCTAATGTCAAACCAATGTATGGCCAACTTGTGTGTGTGTGTGTATGTGTGTGTGTGTTAAAAATGTACACTTATGCACATATGTATATAGATACAAATGCTATTGATATAGATAAATACTTGGCTTAATTAGTGAAAATATGGACTGTGCATGTTAAAACAAAGTATGAGCCTAGTACTTTCCTAACTTTCTCAGAAAAGGTTTTTTTGAAGGCTCTGTGTGCTCTGCCTTGGTTTTATGAAAGGTGGGAGACATGTGGCTTAATGATTGAGCAAACAAAGGCTATTCCATATATTAATGAAGGAATATTTTTACCATACCACTCAAATGTATACATACACACACACACACACAGAGAATATCAATCAGTCAGCAATTATTAGGTGCCTGCTACTGTACATCTGGCACTGTGCTAATCTTTGGGGATACAAAAAGAGGCAAAATGATAGTCCCTGCCCTCAAGAAGCTCACATATACACACACATTCATCCAAAGGAGATGTCAGAAGTAGGAAATATGATGGCTAGATTAAAGTAATGAAATAAATGCCTTTTTTGCGTTTTGAAGGAGGTAGTCAAAAGTATGAATTGTGATTATATGTGTATGAAGTGACAGTAATAATCGATGTTTTTGACTGAGGAAATACTAAATTTTATAGAGAATATGAATGATATACTCTTAAGTAGCATTTAGGAAAGATTAATGAGAATAATAGTTAATGCAAAAGATGGTAGAAATTGCATGTATGGTAAAAGATAATTGGAGCAAAAAAATATTGTTTGTAGAAAGATTAGAAAAGTAGAATCAGAATTTGTGATTAAAATGGCAAAAATGTATATGAACCAAACTTGAAAGAAAAAAAATGTGAAAGAAAAATTGAATGAATGACATGTGACTGTTGAAATAACAGCTTTTGAGTCTTAATATTTTTTTCTTTTTTAATTGCAGGCTGGCATTTTTTGAACTTAACTATCAGTTCCATACAACACCTCAACTACAGTCTGAGGTCATAAGACATTACTCAAAACAGGTTGGTCTGAAATTGTATTATATAAAGGGGAAGGAAATGATGTTAGGTGCCTACTGTACATCAGGCACTGTGCTAATCATTGGGGATACAGAAAGAGGCAGAATGATAGTTCCTGCCCTCAAGGAGCTCACACATGCACACAGTAACCTACCTTTTTGTTTAGAAAGACAGTAAGCATTTTTCAGTAATTATTTAGAAAAATAAATGACATGTAGACATTTTGAATGTGCTTTGAGTTTTAAATTGGCTCAAAATAGCCCATGTTACTAATTTTTATTGCATAAATAATTGCATTTCATGACATTTCTGTAGCACTTAGCAACACTATATGAGGGTGCTTCTTAAATGCTAAAGATGATGGCATAGAAGAAGAAAATACTAGGTATTTGGATAAAGATAAATAATAGAGGATGATATTAATTGAATGAAAAGCTTGAGTCACGTATTTTTTAAACTAACATGTTTTACTTGCTTCCTCTAGGCCATTAAGCAAATGTATGTTCTTATTCTTGGACTTGAAGTTTTAGGAAATCCATTTGGCTTAATTCGAGAATTTTCTGAAGGAGTAGAAGCATTTTTCTATGAACCATATCAGGTAAGTTAACCTTCCTTTTGCAATATTATGCTAATTATTAATATCAATAGCACCTACCTCCTAGGATTGTTGTGAAGATAACATAAGATGGTGCTTATAAAGTGCTTTGTTAACCTTAAAGTGCTATATAAATGATAGTTGTAATTGTTGTTGTTATTCTAAGACAGACACCAGCAGATGTAGCAAAACTGCTGGAAACAGATGCACTGAAGGGGGCTCTCTCTTTGCCAATGATTTGTTTATTTTGTTGCTAAAAAAAAAAAGTTAAGGGACACCCTTTATGAAAAAGAGATAACTAGAATTTTAACTTACATCATAATTTTAAAAGAGTTTCAAGCATTTGTGTTAGGTTGTAAAATACTTTGTTCTAAAACTACAAGGGCACAACAGAAAGACCAATATAAATGCCAAGTGAAAGACATCTAAACTAAATCCTGTAATATTAATGACTTGTTTTTTGTTTTCGAAAGCTATTATTTTCAATTTTATTTTCTGTTAGGATATTAATATTTAAATACTCTTTAAATGCCATATCCCTTTTTGATGGTAAATGTTATATTAAAATAGTTCACTCATAATAAAATTTATACTAACCTTTCTTTGAACATATGGTCTTATTCCTTATATAAGAAAAACTGTGCTTTGGCAATGTTTCAATACATTTTAGTGTATATGTGTAATAAATATTTATACAATATGTCATAATAATAAATGATTATTCTCACAGAGTCTGAGCTGAAGTTTAACTTTGTACACTGTTCTGTTAAAAAAAAGTTTGCTCAGCTGATAATCTAAGCAAAATTATAACAGATGCTTAACTTATTTAAAACAGTATTTTCAGAAACTGTAGCACCACTGTTATATTTAAACCTTGTGCCTAATATAAATGATTTTATAAAATCATTCTTAAGTTGGGCTCAATAGTTCTCTTCTCTTTGTATCTCTATTTTCCACTATTTCATGTTAACTCTGCATTTGAGGGGAAAATACACCTTTAAAACTATATATTTCATTATTCAGAGTTACAGTAATCATTACACCTAATTGTTTTGTTATTCTCAAATGATTTTTCATGTTAACTACCATTTTTGTATGGCTGTATTTACTATTCTTTGTGAATTACTTAATTATCTTACCCTATTTTATTATACCTTATTGTTTCTACTTCCAGGGCAATAGTTAATTCATTCAGATGAACCACATTAAATAACTTAGGTTTGATGTCAAGAAAAAACTACCTAACAATTAAGGCTATCTAAAAGTATACTGAGCAGCCTTGACCTCTTCATTGGAAGGATTAGGTGATCACTTGATCAGCATGTTTTAGTGGGAGGATTCTCTTTAGGTTATGCATTGGATCAGAAAGCTGCTATGATGCCTTCAAATGGAAATTCTGTGATTATGTGATTCATTCATTTCTTTTCACAGAATCATAGAAAGCTTTTATGGCCTCTTACTCTGTTTTGTCAGTCTGTATTAGAGGGCCACTGCCCATTTAGCTTCATTTTTCTCTGATAGTTCTGCTCTGTGTTTACTTTTTCCTTCTCTTTTGTGCCTTGTAACACTATAAAACAGTTTGTAATGTGTTTAATGAGGTCCACCCCCATTCCCCATAAGACCACTTGATATCCTTTCAAGTTCTATAGAACTGTGATCTTTTAAGGTTAGGGTAATATATGCAGAAATAGACATTTTTGAAGAAAGGATTTGAAAATGAAATATCTTGAATTCTGATGACTATAACATCTCTAGAATAATTTTTTTTGTCTTCTGCTTTGAAATAGGTGTATTGTTCTTTTTCAGTTTTTTTCATATTTAAATTTAAAATACTAACATAGGAGCTTGTTCAAAATATTTAGTGTTTTCTTTGTGCTTTTTTAATCAAGACAAACTTAGGGCTGACTAATGATTCCTTTAAATTATTTCCCTTCATACCTATTTGAGAAAATTGTCTACAAGAATAGTTCAATGACCATGATCTCTTTTACATTATTATATTTAATTTTCATATATTTTTAGTATGGTACTTTCCACTGGAAAGACAGTTTGTTAAATGCTATTGATTATGATGCTAGATATATCATCCAATTTTACTTTCTCTTAAATCCCAGTATTTACCACCTTGTCTCTATTGGGTCTATAATTTGTTTTTTATTTGTTTCTTCATATTTAAAAGTAACTAACACAACCTAGTGTCTGTAGCCTTGACTAGGATTTTCCTTGTTGTTTACAATATGTTTACTAGTCTTTATAAACTACCTCTTAGTTTGCCTGTTTGGTTTTGTTTTGTTTTTAAAGTATACTATAGGCTCAATATGATTAACAAAATGATGTGGCAGCCAAAAAAGCCAGTTCACTCTTGAGCTCTGTGAATGTTTGTATGCATACATACTTGTGTGTACCTTTGTCCAGACCTGCAATTTTATAAGTGTGGGGAGTTCTCCCAATGCATTCTACAGTTGTCTTGCAGCTTACAGTCAGAATTACATTAGGCATGGAAAGGTGAAATCACTTGACCTAGATTCAGTAGTTCATCAGTGACAGAAGTAGAGCTTGAAAACCCAAATCATCCTGCTTCTGAGCCCAGCTTTTTCCAGTGCACTGCACTGATTCCAGGGAAAAGAAGTGATGGTTCTGACCTATTCTGCCATATCTGGAGTGTTGTGTTCAGTCCTACGCATCACATTTTTAGGAAGCAGAAGAAGAATTAGATTTGTTCTCATAGTGTCCAATGAGCAAAAGTAGAATCATTGGGTTCAGTTTTCAAAGAGACAAATTTAGGATTGGTATCAGGAAAGAATTACCTAACAATTACAGCTGTCTGAAAGTATAGTGAGCAGCCTTGCCTTCCTCGATAGAGGGGCTAGGAGACCCCTTGTCCAACATATTTTAATGGGAGGATTCTTTTTAGATTGTGGATTGAATCAGAAAGCTGCTTTATCCCCTCCAACTGAAATTCTGTGTCCATTCTTTTCTCTTTAGTGAATCATAGAAGGCTTTTGTGGCCTTTTATTCTGTTTTGTCATTCTGTATTGGAGGAGAGGTTTTTGATAGTTGTACACTAAGCACATCTCCTCATGCCTTACTGAATCCATTCCCTGAGCTTATATGTACAGTTTGTAAGTCAAGTAGGCCACAGCATTTTATAGATTATTAGAAGCATTGTTTAGCCTCAAATCAATTTCATTTATGAATTCTACTGTTAATAGAACTTTTAATTGTTAATTTTATTTTTGTCTTTAAGGGAGCCATCCAGGGTCCTGAAGAATTTGTAGAGGGCATGGCATTAGGACTTAAAGCACTAGTTGGAGGAGCTGTTGGTAAGCAATTATGATAATGTTGAGGATCCATTGCAATAATGTGTGCTGGAGTAACATGTTATTTTATTAAATATATTCTAATTTCTATTAGGTGGACTGGCAGGTGCTGCCTCTAAAATAACTAATGCTATGGCCAAAGGGGTAGCAGCCATGACTATGGATGAAGATTACCAGCAGAAGAGAAGAGAAGCCATGAATAAACAACCTGCGGGTCTTAGAGAAGGCATCACACGTGGAGGAAAAGGCTTAGTTTCTGTAAGAAAAACTTCTAAGTTGTTCATATTCTGCTTTTAATAAGGAAAATATGCCCATGAACCTCATACCCTGTAGAATTATTTTAAAACCTAAAGAGCAGTAGGAGGTGATACATAATATACATATGCAAATCTAGGGCTTTGATATCCTCAAAGGCAATATACAATAGAGATTCATTCTATGAGATTTAGGCAAAATAACAGATAGGGTAAATACTGTGTATAGACTGCACAAAGCTAAATTATTGTCTTGAAATCCATAATTAAAGTTTTGTTTGAAGATACCTATGCAGAAATATTGTAAATTTGTAATTTTTTTTTCATCTAGGGTTTTGTAAGTGGGATAACAGGAATAGTGACTAAGCCAATCAAAGGTAAATACAGTTCCTTTAAGTCATACATAATTAACAAAATTCCTGTTAAGATAATTTTCATTTTATTCATTCTGAATTATGTTACTCTTTTTCTAGGAGCCCAAAAAGAAGGAGCAGCAGGGTTCTTTAAGGGTGTTGGGAAAGGATTAGTTGGAGCAGTGGCAAGGCCAACAGGAGGAATTATCGATATGGCTAGTAGTACCTTTCAGGGAATTAAAAGGTAAATTCTATTCAACATAAGATAGAATGAAATACATATTGACAGCTAGAAAGTGGATAAACCAGTCATGTGGATCATGGCAATGAACTGTGTACTAAGTTCTGTTACTTGCTAGTTTAGCTAATTATTTGACAGGGTACAAGTAGCTTAACTTCTCCTTAGTGTCATTTTACTTGTCTGTAAAGTGAAGACAGTTGAACAGGTGATGTCTAAGTACTTTGTAGCCCAAAAATTCTGTAATACACTCTGTGTATATAGCAACTAAGAGTTTACAACAAACTTTTATACATATTATCTTAATATACAGCAATTCTGTAAGGTATTTGTACAAATATTAATTTTATAGGTTACTTTTATACTTCAGTTTACCAATAATCTCACTGAAGCTTAAGCCTTCCTACCTCCATGTACATTATCTACCCTGTCCTTTTCTCATGTGGTGCTTATCCACATTTTTGAACTGATCCTCCCTAAGCATTTTATCATAGTAACTAGTACATTGGATAGAATGTATGAAGGATTAATTAGTCCTCTAGGTCTTTTAACAATTCTTGGGTATCAGTGTAGCACCTAGGCAGTCTGTCATCCCTTACTATTGCTATAAAATCAACCTGTCTCCTTTTCTGATCATATATTTCTTTCATGTCTTTTTATTAGTTAAATTTTTTTAAGTTAATAAGCATTTATTTTCTCTTCTCCACTTCCCCCTTGCTCACTTAAAAAAAAAAAGAAAACAGAAAGAAAACAAAAAAACTTTATACAAATATGCATAATCATGCAAAACAAATTCCAACAGTGGCTATGTCCCAAAACATATGTGTCATCCTGCACCTTGAGGTGTAGAAATAAGGTACAAAATGAGACATATTTTTGGACATGGCCATTGTTGGAAAGTAAGGGAGCTATTTAGCATGCTTCATTATTGGTCCCCTTGAATCACAATCAATCCGTGTGTTGATCAGAGTTATGAAGTTTTTCTAAGTTGTCTGTCATTTCTTTTGTCACAACAGTATTTCATTATATTTATATGCCATGATTTGTTCAACTGTTCCTCACTGATGGGCTGTTTAGTTCCCAGTTATTTACTCTACAAAAAGAGACACTATAAATATTTTTGTACATGTCGTTCTTTTCCTCTTTCTTCTCTTTGCTGTATAAGCCAAGTAGTGATATTATGGGATCGAATGATGTGCAGTTTAATGACTTTTTGGACATAGTTCAGAATTGCTTTCCACAACGGCTGAATCAATTCACAGTTCTGCCACCAGTGGATTAATGTGCCTATTTTCCTATAGCCCCACCAACATTTGTCCTTCTACATTTTTGTCAATTTTTCTAATCTAATAGTTGTGAAGTGGCACTTTAGTATTATTTTAATATTAATTTCTCTGATCAATTTAAAATATTTTTACATGGTTATTGGTAATTTGTATTTCTCCCTTTAAAAACTGCCTATCCATGTCCTGTGCAAGATATCTTGAGGTTTGGCTCTCATTGATTGGCCAACAATAGGTCCCAGCCCAAGCCTCAGCTGGTCATTGTTTGGGCTTTGATGGCTCAGAGAGATTGTAAATAGCATTTCTTTAAGTTTTGGCCAGAAACCCTGAGGGTCTTTCCCTCTCAGATTGATTTTATTTTTTTTAACTAGGTAAAAGAGGCCATTCTTTGCCTCATTTTTTACCTATCCTTAATCACTAAATGGTCATTGCCTCAGTCAAACTGAGACCTGGGAAAGACTGTAGCTTAAAAAGGCCAAGGTCTTCCACTGTATCTGGGGCCGTCTCTAGTCATCCTGATGTATATCTTGCCACTGGACCCAGATAAGAAAGTGAGGCTGGTAACTTTGCACAGCTCTTCCTCACTTAAATCCAATTTACTTGCAAGTCACACATCACCTTCCTGATGTCATGGCCCTCTTCAAGAATGAAGAACAAACAACAAATCCATATCCTGTGAGCATCTGTCAATTGAGAAATTTTAAAAACAAGTTTGTTAATATCTTTTATTTTTACTTAACCTAAAATTGCTCCTATACCACCCTCTCCTGCTTCCATAGAAGTAAGATTTTTTTTTGAAGAAAGAAAAAGAGAATGGAAAATAAAACAGGAAAATTGATCAGTGCACTGAAAAAAAAAACCCTAAAATATATTCAGTTACACACTTCAAAGGAGTAAGCAGAGGTGTCTGCTCATGTTTCTTCTTTGGGGTCATGATTGCTCTTTATAATTTTGTAACATTATTTTTTATACATTGTTATATTCATGTATATTATTTCCTGGCTCTGGTTATTTAACTTTGCATCAGTTCATATAAATGTTAACATACTTCTGTGTAATAAAATAGCTGGCATTTACATAGTGCTTTCAAGGTATGATGCTTTATATATACTAACTCATTTTTAATCATAATCATCATTTCTTTCTTTAAAGCAATTCTGACTTCTCGCATCCTTTTATTTATTTCTAGACTCAATAGTCCCATTTTCCATCTGTTAATGCCAGATAGACACAGAGAGACTAATTCAACAGGCTTCCATTCCAGTAGTATGTCAAAATCACATCGTCATTCAACAGATATTAAGTGCTTACTTTGTTCCAGATAATATGCTAAGCCTGGGGATACAAAGAAAAGTGAGAATAGAATCTGCCCTCAAAGAACTCATCTTTTAATGTAGGGGTGGCAGCATGTAAATAACAAGGTTAATACAGAATCTATACCAAGTAAATGGATTGGGGGTCAGATGACTCCAACTGTACTACCCATATGTCCTTTGGGAAGCTGCTTCATCTCTGAGCTTATCTACTTCTAAGTTCCTTTAACTTCCTCTGTTAATGAGAGAATTGGAAAAGATGACCTCTAAGATCTATTTACTATCTCAGGTCTTTGATTTTGTGAACCCATGATCTCCCTCCTTCAACTTTTATCAGTGTTTTTCGGTTAACTTGTACTATAATTTGATGCTGTTCTTGACTGCCATGTCCATCTGTTTGGCAAAGAGAGCATATGATTTTTGGCTAAAGAAATATATGAATTCTTTTGATCCCCACATTCTGGAGATTGTAATGTGAGGTAATTTTTCTAAGAAATGGTGATAACGCTCTAGGTTTTTACTTTTACCCATTTTCTATTCTTCAGCTTCAACAAATTGTTTAAATGAGTCATGTTAGACCAATATAATTGCACATAATGTTTTCTTGTATTCCTCGTTTCTTCTAATCTGGTATTGATTTTGATCTTTGCTCCAGCTAATCTATATTTGGTCTGAACAAAGGCTATTAATTCTGAAGTGACTGCCATGTCTTTCCCTATTTATTCCTTGTCTCTTAAGATAATCTGTTTCATTTTTTTTAGTGTTCAGAACCCTTTGACTGTCTTTTTAAAGAAAATGTTCTTGATTGTAGATATGACTTACACATAGTCTCTAAGCCTTTTGTTTCTTTTCTTAATTTGTAACTATGCGTTTACCATTTTCATACCTGTTTTTACATTAAATTCACTGAATGTGAAAGTATATGTTGACTTGTTTTGCAGATTTTGTCTAGTTCATTAAACCGTACTTTTTTTTATTCTGTGATACAGTTCATTCGTGAGCTGCCCGTTGTCTGCATGGTGATCCTTTCACTTTGCTTGTGAGCACTAGAAAGTGAAATAACCAAATGTCCTGTGTAGTTATATTTCTTATTGCCTTTGGGTTTATGATGATAGCTTCTTTATTCACTCATCTGGAAAGAATATGTGAATAATTGTTTTCATTTGGTTACAAGTGTTTTGCATTGTGGTTTCATTTATAGCAAGAATACCAGTGTTAACGTGGTGCATTTCTCCAGTAGTGTATCAACGTGTTCATCATTGGACATTTAGAGCACTTGGAGCTAAATTAAAGTTTCTTATCATCTAGAAACTGAATTTTTATGACCATCATTCTGAAAATGGAAAGATGCTACACAGGACTAAGGCTGTGTGTGTGTGTGTGTGTGTGTGTATGTGTGTGTGTTCGAATGGGTTGCCAAAGCTTGCCTACTAATGTTAAACTGTTCCATATATCAGCTGGCCCTCAGGTAGAATACATAGTATACTGTTGGCACAGTAGTCTTTCTAACCAGATACCTGACTGATCTTTGTAGTTTGCTAGCATAGCCTTTAAGACCATAGGGTCAGTTCTATTGCAGTGTTAAATATTAAAGTAGAAGTTTTGTTAACAATTTTACATATCTGCCGAATTTTCATAATATAGAGCAATGCAAATTGCTGACTTAACCTGTACTGGTGAGATCAAAAGATTTGTCTCTGAAATTGCACAGAATTGAGAATCAACTATTTGAACAAGGAAAGGGAAAAGATTGTTGTGTCATTTATTAGACATTATTGATAATTCTGTTGTTCAGTCATTTTTGGTCATGTCCAACTCTTCATGACCCCATTTGGAGTTTTCTTGGTAAAGATACTGGAATTATTTTCCATTTCCTTCTGTAGCTCATTTTACAGATGAGGAAACTGAAGCAAACAGGGTGAGAGACTTGTTCAGGGTCACAACTAGTAAGTGTCTGAGGCCAGATTGGAATTCAGGAAGATGAGTCTTCCTGACTCTACACTCGGCACTCTATCCACTGTGCCGCCTAGCTGTCTCATTGATAATTCTAAATAGTCAAAAGTCTGAAGAATAAAGCATTAGTTACTAACTTACATTTAATTCTTTCCCATGATTTGTCATTGAGCAGTTTGGGTATCCAGAAAAGCAATAATGTAACGTGGTCACATAGCCACAAAAAGGACCATCTAGTATTATATTTTAATAGGATTTTTATTTATTTATTATAATAGGATTTTTTCTTGTTAAATAATTTTATCTCTCTATTATTTTTCCCTAGAGCTACTGAGACTTCTGACGAAGTAGAGAGTCTTCGTCCCCCAAGATTCTTTAATGAAGATGGTGTTATTAGACCTTACAGATTGAGGGATGGAACCGGAAATCAGATGTTACAGGTAAAATCATTACCTTACTAGAGTTAAAATAAATTTGGTTTTGAGGTTTAAATTTTCTTAATAGTTTAAAGTAGCCAATTTAACTATTAGTTAAAGCTTTACATGTAAGGCTTTTAAGGTTTTCTAACAAACTGCTTAATTCTCTTATTTATAACTTTCTAATACTTAAATTTGAAAAGTACATTTATTCACTGTAAGGTTTTTTCTTTTTTACAGGTATCAAAAAGTTTGATATGAAAACAGTTAATGCATGACTTGCAAGTGAAAGCCTACAGTAGATTTTTATATCAACATAGCCATAAAACTTTGCAAACTATGTACAACAACTGCAATGTTTTAATAAAGTGAAAATCCTTACTAATAATAGTAACTACATATAAAGAGATTATTAGCAAGTCTAAATGTTTTGTAGGGTCTTATTTTGCTTTTGCAGCATACATATTTTCAACCAAGATTTTCTTATGTAAAGTCCAGTGAGATAAGTTGAAACCCATTTTGCCTTGTGTACCTTGTGAATCTAATTATTTTGATCATTGCACTGTGTCATTTTGGAGTATTTCATTAGTGCCACAAATATGATGGTTGCCCTGGGTTCAGGAAAGGACAATCAGAACTGTTTCTACACCAGAGTTTTTCAGGGTTCTTGTGCTTTCCAGACAATCTGTTCAGCCACAGTAAAACATTTATACAACTTACTTTCCTTCTCTTGCCCATAGAGCATTCTGTTTTCCAAATTTTTCGCAGGATTTAATAACTAGTCATTTCAAGTCAAAACCAACTTTCTTGTTAAAAAAAATAGTTCTTATGGGATGGTAAACACCACTGAATTAAAATACTTCATGTAGAAATATAGTTAAAGAAGTAGAAAGTCTTTTTTTTTTAAGTGAACTGAAAGTTCTCCACTCCTTAATTGGCTTTCTGAAGTTTTTTTTTTCCCCCAAAGCATTTTACGTGCCTTAAAGTGACTTAAATCCTCTGTGAGAAAGTAAGGAGATATTTTCTTTGTAGACATAAATATTTATTACACTGTATAGCCTTTATTACAAAACAAATTGGTAGTTATATAGTAATGCTGTCCTTGATTATTATTTTGACATGTTAAAATAACACTGTGCTTAAAGTGATTATGAGTAAACTAAATGAGCCAATGTTTTAACTACCCATAAGCAGTAAAGCATGTATCTTACAGCCTTCATTACAGAATCCTTGTAAATAATGAAAACTGTGATAGCATGTAACATGAGGCCAGGTTTTTTTGACAGTGCAGTTTTTTGTTAAGAAATTCCATAAAGTGTCTTTCTAAAAGTTTAAAACAATTTTAGCATAAAACTAGCAGTCATTGGCCAAATGTGATTTCTAATGGGCATTCCAGGATAAGTTATATTATGAAAAATGGTATATGATAAATGGTATGTGTGAGAATCACTTAACTCTGGTACTTGAAAAATGTTACCCAACCATTTCCCTTCTTGCCCATGTTATTCTAGCATTTAACACATATTTAGTTTAAATTCAGTTTTTAAAATATATGAGGAGCTTAGAAGTATCATACTATATACTCTATATATACTATATACTGTAAGTATTCTAATTGGAGGCACAGAGATATTAGGAAAAGTGTAAGGCTATATCATCATTACTAGCTATAAAAATAAAATAGAAACCAGGAGATCCTGCAGATTCAGGATCCTGCCTTGGTTTCAAGGACATACAGAATTGTCTCTGTCTTTGGATAGTGGTTATTTTTGGAAGCTTTAAATTTAGAAGAGTTGAAGGACATGGTTTTATGTAAATCTTTATAAACTCACGAATTTTTGGCATGTCAATATTAAGTATACTTAAAGTAATAGGTATTTAACTAATGACAGTTCTTGTGACCCAGATAAGTGTCATCTGTTGTAGGTTAGAATGACCTACGTTTCCACAAATATTTTTATATTTGTGATTAGCCCACCCTTTTAATTATACATTTAAAATATGGGGGCTTTTGACAAAACTGTGCTGTATGTTCTTAACATTGTTTAGAAATTCTTACAATTACATTCATAGTCATAATTTAGAAAAGTTTGTTGCTGATAGGTAGGCAGGATTAAAAATCTGATTCAGAGTTGGTGTACATTATTTGAAAATGGTATCGTGGTTTCAGTGAGTTTTCCCTTAATATTTTCTCTCTATTTTTTTATCCATGCTGCTACGAACTATTTAAGATATATGTATGCATATACATATATATATTTTTTATGATGAAAGTGTATATATAAAATGACTCTTTTTAGTGTGTACATTTCCAACTAGACAGTAACATATTATCTTCCCAGATGGTCTTGATGGGGGATTGTGATCAGTTAAATTTAGCCAACCAGAGTAAAATAATGATGATATTAAATTGCTTTTCATAAAGTGCCACAAAATATTTTTTTCCTACATTAAAATAATCCAGACAATTGGTTCTGTCTGTTGTAAAACCTATACACTTAATAGAATTCATTTAAATCTACAAATACAACCTTAGGAACAGCTGAAAAGAATGCTTTAATAGTATTTTGAATCCTAAAACATTTCATAATCGTGCATGTTTTTAAAACAACTTGCCATTATTGAACTAACCTTTTTGCTTCTTTTTTTTTCCTTTACCATGCTCACAGAAATTTTATGCCTACAGGGAGTGGATTATGACTCTCGATAGTAGTAGTAGTGATGATGATGAAGATTAGTCAGATCTGTATTATTCAAATGCATGCATTATTTATCATTTTAAGTTGAATGTCTTCATATACTGTGTGTGGCTGCTTTTGTAACTTCAGTAGTTCGTTAGTTAGGATTTTAAATTATTTTCCCCTTTCACTATATTTTTATAAAACTTACCATTTAAACAGAGAAATAGAAATTATTTTATGTCAGAAGTCAGTCATGTTTTATATATATATCTCATTTGATTGTAGCCAAAATATTGTGTTGTAATGAAAAGTGCCTTTTTTAGATTTGTCTATAAATTGTATTTTCGTTACTATTTTCATAGTTGCAAGTTTTCCTTTGTAGTACCTTTTTATTTGAAGTCACCTGCTCATTTGTTAACAAAATTCATTTATTATATGGATGTTTTCAATGTAACCTTTCTGGACTTTAATGTATTATCAATGTATTAAAGAAAAAGAAGCAGAGAGAAAAACGGCTCATCAGTTTTTTATATTCACTTTATTTCAGAACTTTCTTGTCAGTTTCCTTTCAATAACAATAAACTTGTGTAATTTGAAAGAATGTGAATCTGTTGTTCTGTTCCATCATTCATAGTACATGGAAGGAACACTGTACATTTGATAAAAACCATTGTGATTTGTCCTAGAAAGGTTAGATAATATAATCATTTGTCATATCAAAAAGGGAAGGAAAAAAACCATTTTGCTACCATGTTCACTTTATCCTCTGTTCCATCAGTTATTTTAACGTTTGATTTTATGTAATTTGGGGCAGCAACATAATAGTTTCAGTTCCTTTTTAAAAATGTATTAAGAGTTCTAGTGGGTTAATAAGGACTGTTTTCGTACATTGTTTCTCATTGTACTTCTTAATTTATATATCATTCCACAGTATCTCTTAGAAGTATCCATTTATCGCTAAATTTTTATTAATTGGCTCAAGTAGTCAAGAAATTTTTCTAACAAATATCATTATGTGTATATCTTCTGTGTACGCTTGAAGGGAAATACCTAACTTTATCTTGAAATAGTTGGAAAAGCCATGGAGTAAAGCCATGTTTCTTCTAGGGTACTACATGCTTGCTTTTTATTTATTTTCCTTATTGATTATATGCCCTGGTCATCTTCCTTTAGAAATCTAACGTTAGAAAAAACTTGCAAAGAATAAATGGCACCAATGATGTGGTAGTTGATGCCTCCTGACTGATGTGTTTCTGGGTTATCAAAATGATCTTCATCTTCTTGACTAATAGTAAAACATATTGCTTCACCATTACCCTTGCTGTAAACTACAAAAATGTATACCACAGTTTGGCAGCTAGCTCAGGCTATGGATATTCTGATTTTCTTCTAATTCTGAAGACTGTGTTGTTATTCTTCCACAGGTCATTAGTCGTTGAAAATGATTTTGGCTTAAAACGACAGGATTTTATAAATATTGGGTGTAGAAAAATGTGAGCATAGAAACAAAGCAATATGTGAAGATTTCTATTCCATTATATTCACTTAGATGGCATAGAAATTAATGTCTCTCTGTCAAGGAGTACAGAGAAATTAAATGCCTCTTTTACCACTCTATATGTGCTCTTTTCAAATAATCTGAACAAATGGGTGACAGTAGCAACCTTTTGTGTGCCTACCCCTGCTACCATTGTTTCTTAAGATATACCTACCACCAGCTCCCTATTCCACATCATTCCCCTCAACCATGCTCTTCCAACAATTCCTAATTTTATTAGAAGCCCAAAGCTACATGACTAGCTAACTCTGTGTATGTATATATATATACCTGTAAAGAGAAAAACTGGAAAGGAAAAATTTTCTTACCCTTAACTGTGTAGAGTACAAATAACAACTTAGTGGTGATACTAAACTGCTTGTGTAGAAGATTTTTAACATATCTGTATTTCTGTGATTCTTTTGGACTGGAGGAAAAGGGGGCTTGTTTTATTTTAAAAATAACATAGCACTAGCACTGTATTTCTACAGTGTACTAACAGGAAAAAGATCCAGGTAAATTAGACATTATTTGATCTTGTTCATTTGAGTAATGATATCTTATGTTTGTATAGCACTAAACTATTGACAAACTGCTTTCCTCACAACTCTGTGAAATAATGTAGTACAAACTTTTCCATGTTTGGAAGAGGAAAAAATTGTGGTTGAGAGTAGTTAAATGATTTTTTTACATTGTAAGTAAATGCTGGAACCAGGGTATGAACCCGAGTCTCTTGATCACAAATCCAGAGCTCTTTCCATGATATAGGACATTCCATCCATACGAGAAAATCCCTCTAGAAATGGGTTTGAAGCAGTTATTCTAAGAAGTGTAAAACATTGTCTGCAGGTGTTTTTAAAAGGCTTTTAAAATTTAAGTATGTTTGCCTTATTTTTTAGGTATATTTTTTTCATTGTAATTTATATTCACTTTTCAGTCTCTGCTTTCCTTCCACAGTAATTTACCAGTGAAATCATCTCTTCATAACTGCTTATGACTAGAGGTCTCCATTTTATATGGTTATGCATGTATATGTATATTACAGAAATATATATGTGTACATATATAAACATAGCTATATAAATTATTTCTTTATGTCAGAGATAATTGTGTTTATTTTTTAAGAAAAGAATAGTTTTAGGATTTTAGAATTATTCTGCTTTTGGATACTATACCTGGTGTTTAAGAGATAGGGTTATATCACAGATAAAATAATTTTCTCAATCATTTTGCATTTGGGCTCAATTCCATTGTATTATTAAGATGAGTCCCTGCTTATTAAGAAGTTGTTTATTAGGGGCAGTTGTACCAATATAGTTTTCCAAATTAAAGAATCATTGAACAGAAAAGAAATCTAGGTTGAGAAGTAGGGGTACAAAATCCTTTCCATGCCTTGTAACTCTACTTAAATATTGAATTTCTAGATGGTGATTAGCCATGTAGAAAAGCAAGTGTACATGCAGCTCTCCTTTGCATAAGGAATATTTTTTTCCTCTCTAATGTTTTTTCCCAACTTAGAGATATGAACTTAGGAAAGGAAAATAGGTAGAAAACTTTATATAACAAAGTAGTAATCTTCCCCTGTTATAATCAACCAGTGCAACAAGAATACATGATACTGAGTAATGAAATAAATAACATGGTTATTTTAAACCTGCAGAGAAAATAGAGACAAAGTTGAACATGTGAAATAATGGTAGTATTCTGAGAATTGATTTTTTTTTAAATCAAAGCAGTTATAAGTAATACAAATTTATCATTGAATTATATACTATCAACTTATTAACATTAACCTATGCCATTTGGTGTACTTTAAAGTGCTGATTTCAAACATGGGGAAGATTGTGTTATTATGGGAAGTGATCATGCATTATTTAGTCTATAGGCAGAAGCATAAATTTGTGAATAGGATTTAAAAGTAAAAAAATTTTAAAGGCCACATGCTCAAAGTAGTGTATTGGATCTTAATATAAGAACTTGCTTTACTTAAATCTTCTAGAGGAATCATGAGTTAAAATTCCTCTTCACAGAAACATCCGTATTAGTTCTGTACCTCAGTACATTGTCCCTCGTTGCTTAATTACATTTTTATTTGTTTTTCCATATTGACTACTGTAATTCCTAATAACTTGAAAGCCTAAGATTTGGAGAGTGATATGTTATTAACTTAGTAAGATAATTTTAATACAATGTATGCCATCCAGTTAAGTAAATAAGGGTTATGAGTAAGAAATTACTGGATAAGAGGTACTGGTTTCATTTATCTTCACATATATACTTCCTGAGTGGAAAGAAGCTTGTGTAAAAGAATATGTAAGGGGCAGTTAGGTGGTGCGGTGAATAGAGCTCTGGTCTCGGAGTCAGGAGGACCTGAGTTCAAATGTGGCCTCAGATACTTGACAGTTACTAGCTGTGTGACCCAGGGCAAGTCACCCAACCCTGATTGCCACACACACACACACACACACACACACACACACACACACACAAAGGCAGAATGATCCTTTTTAAAACTTTCTCAAATTCTTGTATACAGCATATACAATGGAGATATATATATATATATATATATATATATATATATATATATATGCACTTTGCTAAAGCACATATAAAAACTTTATTTAAAGGGAATCTTATCACTACCAAATGCATCTTTGTCAGAACAGTCGCATGTATTTTTTTTTTATTTAAAATGTGGTAGACACACTCATTCCTGGAGTCTAGAGTTCACTCAGCCAGCTTGTGAAGATGAATATGGTACTTATTTTTTCATCAGCCTTGATGTACCAGCATTATAGCCCAACTACCAATTCTTTAAATCTTTTAAAAAAAATACAATTCCCGGTCACATGACCAACAAAATGGAGGAGTAGACATTTTCTCTGATCCTTACCTCTCCAAAACAGAAATTGTGTGTCAGAGTTGGAAAAAAAAGAAACAAAACAAGCAAGGCCTGTAATTATAATGCATAGATTTAGAGCCAGATAGGACTTAGAGTTTGTCTGGTTCAAACTCCTCCTTATATCATGAGAAACAGACCAAAGAAGTGAGGTGGTATGCCCGAGGTCATACATAGAGTTATTGAATGACAGAATTGGAAACTGTGTCCTTTGGTTAGAAATTCCTCTGTGGCAAATCTTACAAGATAGTATTTGATTTTAAGCCTGATTAGAATGCAGCACCTTTAACTTATCTCTCCACAACTTGGGAAATTATAAGCCTCTGCTACAAGCATAGGAATTCAAACTTGTTCAAATTGTTGAACAAAGATTTCTGTTAAAATGATCTTATGCTTATTTGAGCTATTGGTTATTGAGCAAATAAGAACTCAAAGCATTAATAGTCATTTAAGACCAATTTAGGAGAAACGTAAATTAAAAAAATATTCTAATTAAACTAATAATAATAATGGTTAAATTGAATTACTTTTACTTAAATATGTTTTTCAATTTTCTAAGCTCCCATTTTTAGCTTGATAATTATACTATATTTAAGGTGATTCTTAATGCTTTATTGAAAACAAAAATGGGAGATTCAGTGGAAATTATTTTTAAAATTTTTTATGCAAAACCATGATGTTGAATTTGCTCAGAACTAACATACTTCATGGGAAAAGTTAATTATTTCCTGACAATGTTTTATTTTACATGGTGGAAGATGGAATTCCTTTTAAAGGTTAAAAAAGCTTTAAATTACATTATGCAGGAGAATAATTCATAATGTAGAAAAATAGCCCTTTCTTCCTGAGCATACTGTTTGCAGTTCCTTTGCTGTCAGCTTTTTTCCTCTTGTCGGCATTTTCCTTTATTCCCCAGGCCTTTGCCTGCAGGGTGTTTTAGTCTTAGATTATCTTTAAAAAGAAATTTCTGCCTCTCATTGTGAAGGCATATTGACCCAGAGCTGACCTGCACAGGTCATATATTCTGCATCCTGTCTATTTTTTAAAAATTGTCTGTCTTGTCTTCTTGTCACTTCTAAAGATAGCACAGTTGCAGTTTGTGATGTGGTGTGGGGGAGAGGCTGTTTTTGTTTGTTGTGTGTTTCTTTTCTTTCAGAAATTG